TGGTCGGTTTTGTTTTTGTTTTCAATAAGGGCGCACTTAATGCTTCTCTCCCTTCTTGCACTTCCGATCTGCCGGCAATTCCGTGTTTTGGAAACTTTTGTCTCTGTAAAGAGACCGCCGGTTTGTGGAGCTTCGCAGGATTAGTTTAAAGTAGGTTGAGTATGCCCTGGACTGCCAGTGTAGTTTAATGATCCGCAATGGGGAACGCGCGTATTGGTGAGGGCGCGGCGGTACTCTGGAGGCTGCGCTGGGAACGTCCCTGCCCCGGCGGTGCCCTCCTGCCGGGAGCCCGGGCAGGGGTTGCGCGGGCAGGCGGCAGAGAGCACGGTGACTTGGAGCGTGCGACGTCAGCTTGCGCGAGTACCTTAAAGGACTTTGTATTTGGTCGAACTGAAAACTGTTGATATTTAAAAAAAAAAAAAAAAACCTGTCAAAAATAATGACTTTAATGTCTCATAGGTGAGACAGACATTCTGGGGGAAAAAATTGAATAATCAGGAATATGAAAAGGGGAAAAGTCAGCTTGAAGCCCTTATAATTGAAATGTTTGGGCATAAACTAACTGCATCAGTTAGAAAAATACTTGTTTTGCATAACTGGACGTTGTAGTCGAGCTTTTAAAAAGTGACTGGTGTTTTTCTTTAAGTGTCTGCCGCGTTGGTGCGCAGCTTCAGGCGTCTTGAAGGGGCCTGTCTGTCTCTTTGGAGAATTGGGGTGTTTTTCCTGAATTTCCTAAGAATAGGATATCTTTGATGTGTCTCTGGTTAGGCGTCAGAGCCTGTAATCTTTTCTTTTTGATCTGTCATCTGAATTTTCACAAATGCTACTTCTTTTTTCTTTTCTCATAATCACCTTAGAACTGCCGTTACACATTTAAATGTCCAATGCTGTAGAGTGTAGCTGTGTTTTGTACATATATTAACTGTTTGCCAACATACTGTGATCCAAAAACCCTCTGTATTTTACATGCTAAGCTGATGGTTTAACAAAGCATCAAATATTTATATTGCAGCACTTTGTGAACCAGTGTACTACAATGTTAAATTTAATTAACATTACTCTTAATACACGATCACTCTTTTCAAAGTAGCTCTTTCAAACTTTGCCTCCTTCTAATGTGTATCATGTGTCCTTACGGAGTATGGAATAGTTATGGGTGGTAGTTTGTGTTCTGTAGGAATTAGATGATGGTAAAGGTGGTGTTTTTACTTAAATTTTACTGAATTTGCTTTCACAAGATCTGAACTTACTTGGAAATGTAAATCAAAATATTTCTTCAGTAGGCTGACTTAGCTGTCTTAGGAATTTGCAAGAATTATTCAGACCATTGAGGGGTGCCGGGCAAGCAATATGTGATGTAGAACCAGTAAAAATGTAATATGGAGGTTAGCCTTTGTACCGAGGATTATGGACACATAAAACAATGTAATCTGAAGTTTATGTGTGTCTGTATATTTTTTTCCATGTAAATAATTATATTTTCATAACACTTTATTTGCTGCTTTGTAATCAAAATCTCTTACTATAATGAGTTTGAAGTTGCAATCTTTCAAAAATCCTGCGGCATTTGTAGATGTAAATTCTGTTATGATGTTTCCTTAAAGACTGACGCTTAACATCAAATAATAAAAGTTGTAACTACCTGTTTCAACTATTCAGATTTCCCTAATTTGCACTTTTGATTAACTACATTCCTAATAAAGTATTAGGCTTTAGAGTTCTGGTAGCTAAGAGTCCGCTGCTCCTTAGAAAAAAGGATCAGTATTTGTGTTCGTATGTCAAATTTAAAGTTCTTAAACTTTGTAGCATCTGGCCATTTAAAAAAAAAAACTTCTTAATGTGACAAGTAGTATTATAGAAAGGCTTGATATTACGGTGTTTGGATAATGGGCCAAGTGAGGCATTTGTGAATTTGAAAAGATATGCTGGTACATATGTGATGGAAACTGACTTGGTGGAAACACGGCCTATTCTGTAATTTTAAATCAGGTGTGCTGTAAAAAGTATTTTTCTAGTATAATTATCTACTGAAGCGCTTTATCCAGCACAGTGCTTTATCCAGTTCTGGCGGAATAAGTGTTTTATGTTTATGTCCTCCTCCCCACGCTTCTGACATAACTATGTAGTGAAATACTTTAAATATAATTCAAGTTGAAATGTGAGGCAGATTTCTAAACAAAAGGAAAAAATTATAGCCAGATAAGTTATTTATATGCCAGGATATTTTCAAATAAGCTTTTTTCTTTTTAAAGCAGTTGTGATAGACTATGCCTATCTATTGATAGACACTTGTTTTATAGTCCCGAGGATGTCCAATTGCATGCTAATGAAGAGCTATTTGCAAAGAGAAAAAAAAATACTGTAACTCTCAAAGTATGCATCAGTTGAATAAGAAAGTCAGCAGAGATAACATTATTAACAGACAAATGAATTGTATAAGGAATGACTCTAGTCTTTGAAACAGGAGACAGAAAGACAGGGCACATCCTGCATACTACTTTTTTTTTGCAGAAAAGTGATGCAACACCGCCTCTCCCAGCAAGTGGTTTGAGTACTTGTCCAGTATGTTGAAGTTCAGGTTCAAATCCCTCTACTATTTGAGGGAACTTGAAATCCACATCTATTGTTTCCTTAATGGCCAGACCAGTGGGTTTTTTGGTGTGAGGCACTTCCAGACTCCGGTGAGTTTGATTTTTGAGGAGTAATATTCCCTGGGGGTGGGGAGCAAGCAGGGTATGTAGCCCAGGGACTGGCTGGCAGGGAAAGTGATCGGTACAGATTGATGATTTGAACCCAGCCCTCCTGTATGTGGGCCAAGTGTTGAATGAGTAGAAGAAAAGGAATCTTTTTTTTTTTTTTTTGTAGTATGGAGTTAAATTCTAGGGGGTTAAGTCTTTATTCTTTCTCTTTTTGTTTGTTCTTGGCTACCTTGGCCATTTGCTACTCAGGTTTAGTTTTAGACTGTTGAACAGCATCTGTAACTTAATGTTTTCACTGCAGAAGGGAGCTTGGTTGCTTATCTGAGGGCTGAGCAGTCTAGTAAGTGGCAAGGCATTTAGATTCTCTTGTGGATCTAGTTCTGCTCTCTTACAAGATGAGGACTAATTAGATACAAAAATGTAATTGTTTCAACATACCTATAATTGCTATCTGCTATATGAAGATCACTGCAATGCATTATGTTTCCTGAAGTGATTTGCCTATTGCATCATGTATCAGCTTTGGTAGGCCATAATTATCTTCTAAAGAAAAATGATGAATAAGAATTGAAGTGAATTTCTGTTAATATTTTTAATACTTAATTTAACCTCAATGCTATAGTGTTTCTTTTTTGCATTTATTTTCTAAGCTAGAGAAAAGGTTTGACAATTGGCATGTGTGACAGTATGGGTCATGATTGCTAATCGGAAAGTTTAGTGTTCTGAATCCTTCATGCTTCGTCAGTATAGAAAACAAATTCCCCGTATCCCTCAAAAATCTAAAAAAAGATGAAATAATGGATGGAAATTCTGTGGAAAAAAGCTAGTTTGTAGAAAAATATGTTAGAAAACAAACTATGAATTTCATCCTTGTATTGCATTAGGATTCATGTTATGGGGAGGCTGTGGGAAAGTCTACTTGTTTATTTGAGCATAACAGATAAGTCAAAAGGCTCTCAAATGGTTTTCAGAAAGTAAATAGATTAGAACCATGACTGATTTCTGGGAAGGGTATGCTAAGGCATAGAGTTAAATGGTCCTTTAGAAAAGGTGTTAGCCTCTTCTGTAGTCAGAGAGTATGTTAGCGTCTAAAGCCCACGCTTGTGTGTTAACATCGACTGTTATGTGAAAAGGCAGTGTGAATTGCCAAATTTTTATGGCATGAAGTTGTTCAGTGATATCTTTATGCTCTCTAAGAGTATTGAAATCAGCAAAACTAAAAACCTTAGATAA